CTAAGAGCAATGATTTCTTGTTTTGAGAGTTTTTTCCGCTGTCTTCTCCCTCTGTGTTTATATTTGGACCATCTTCTCTCCTCCCCCAACCTAATCTCTAACTCACTTTCCAATTTTGGCTATCTATTTTCAGCTCTCTTATTTTTTTATGTCTCTTACTCCTGATATTTCAGGCACTCACTGAAACTTGCTAATTACCCTGCAAACTATTGCCTCTTTCTGTCTACATCCTGTCTACATATAAGTACTCATGATGTTAAAAAATGTAGGGACAGTGACAATATCATCCTGATTGATTGATCAACATTAAGGAAGTTCCAAGGGACATTTTTTTCTCTCAAACAAGGTAAAAGGAATTTTCATGAGGGCATCCTGTTATATCCACAGTGGAGGCTGGAGACATGGGTTTAAAGCCCATGCTGAGCTTATAAAGAAGGACTGAGTCCCATTAGTCCCTTCAGGGATTCCTCTGAAATAGTTTGTGGAGAGTGACTGAATTGCTATGCTCTGAATTTTATCAGGCCTAAGACTTGGGTCAAGAAACCAAGTGAGGGACTGGAGAGATGGCTCAGTGGTTAAGAGCACAGGCTGCTCTTGCAGAAGACCTGGATTCATTTCCTAGCATCCACATGGTACCTTACAACCATCCATAATTCCCATTCCAGGGGACCTGATGCCCTCTTCTGGCCTTCAAGGGCATTGCACAATACTGGTACACCTACCTACAGGCAGGCAATACACTCATACACATAAAATAAAAAAATAATTAAAACATTTTTTAAAAAAAGAAATCAAATGATACAGACAGTGGCTTGGCCACAGTGTTTCTGTTTCGATTTTCCTATTTCCTTATTGATAAGCTAGAACCAGACTTCTTAAACTTTTCCGCTCAATTCCTTTTTGTTTGAGGTTTTGGTTTGGTTTGGTTTTTTCAATTTTGTTTGTTTTTCTCTTTTTGAGACAGGGTCTCCCTGTAGCCCCAGCTGGCCTGGAACTTGCTATGGAGACCATGCTGGCCTCCATGTCACAAAGATCTGCCTGCCTCTGCATCCCAAGTGCTGGGATTAAAGGCAAGCCCCAACACATCCAGCCTTGTTTGAGAAATTTTTTAATTATCCCAGATATATATGTATATAAGAGATACACAAATCATTTACTGATAACTCAAACTTATTTATTTTTTTAAATTTTATGTGTATGCATGTATTGCCTGCATATAGTTAAGTGCACCCATGTCGTGCAATGCCCACAGAGGTCAGAAGGGCTGTAAGATCCCCGGGACTGGAGTTACGGACAGTTGTTAGCTGCCATGTGGGTGCTGGGATTCGAACCCGGGTCTTCTGCAAGAACAACCAGTGTTCTTAACCACTGAGCCATCTCTCCAGCCCCTCGAACTTATTTTAAAACAATTTTCTGTTATACTCATAATTTTACTATTTATTGAAGATGAAATCAAGGGGCTGGAGAGATAGTTCAGTAGTTTGGAGCACTGGCTGCTCTTGCAGAGGATCCAGGTTCAGTTCCCAGCACCCACACAGCTAACAACCATCTGTAACTCCAGTTCAGGGGCTCCAACACTCTCTTCTGGCCTCCGCGGGCATTGCACACATGGATGTACTTACCTACATGCAGGCAAAACACTCATACACATTAAATATATATATAAATAAAATATAAAATGAAAGCAAACATACATTAAGACAGATTTTTTTGTCTAACGTGATACAGTTCAAGACACACTCATTTGATTCTTACCTGCTGAGTAATAACAGTAGAAAAATATTAAAGGGGCTTTGTTTTCTGTAATTAAGCAATTGCATTTCTTTATGAGAAAAATCTTTGTATGTGCAGTAAAAACACTGTAGTTCATAGCATACAATACCACCAAATCTCCCTCTCCCTCCTTCTCTTCCTTTCTCTCTCCCCCTCCTTCCTTACCTTTTCTCTCTCTCCCTCCCTCTCTCCCTCCTTCCCTCCTCACTTTTCTTCTTCCTCCCAGTGCACGGTGTGCATGCTGTATGCTTGAACCAAGGCTACAGTGAAGTCATGCAATACAGCATGGGTAAGCACTGCCGGAAACACCCTGGATTCAGAGCTTAGTAAGGGTCTATCACTGTATTTGGGATTTTTTTCAATGATTTATTGTAAATCACTGGTGACACCCATTGGTAATTTGGCTTCTAGCTCTTTGGCTAGATAAAACATCTGAAGACCTGTCTTGGATTTTTTTCAATGATTTATTGTAAATCACTGGTGACACCCATTGGTAATTAATTTGGCTTCTAGCTCTTTGGCTAGATAAAACATCTGAAGACCTGTCTCTGTAATTCAAGGTGGGGGTCCATAGATGCATGATTCGCCAGCACTGTAGGCAGCACGCCATCTAGTACTTCAGTTCACGAGTGGATTTCATCGTGCTTTGTTTACATTTGCTTTCTGGAACACTTTTATTTCCCACCCTTCCTATTTCAGTCACATATACTAAAGCTACTAACAGATACTGGCTATGTGTGTAGAGACCCAATGCTTACTAATGCATGGAGGATATATTATTATTAGCTTCCTAACCATTGTGTGACCTGGAAGCCAAATGCCAAGGCTAGTCCACATGATTCTCATGAAATGCAGCATTGATGGAGATGGGGTGCCTCACCTGAAAGCTTTTCCTTAAACCTGTGAACGCCTTTCCACATCAAGCCTGGACAATTGTGAGCTCAAAGAGATGGCCGATGGAATTTTCAATTAGCTGTTCTGAACGGATTCAAATTTGAGTGACAAAGAATAACATTTTATTTCCTGTTTGATGATGTATATTTGTACATATGCCCTTCCTCTTTTGCTATTTATCTGATTATTTAAGCAAAACTTTCATATATTATGACGTATGTTTTATGTGATTTTAAGATATTCAAAGATGTTTTAACATTAAGATACTGATTTTTTTTTTAATGATCACCATGAAGTTCTATTTCAGTAAATCTTTTGAGTCTACACGTTTGCTACAAAGGGTGAAATGAAGTTAGCTTATCTTTCAGTAAGTTTAGGCTCTGAGGAGTTTGGGAAATGAACGTATGGATGAAAAATTGTTTTGAGGGCCCAGACTTCTCACTGGAATCTACCATTAAAATTCGAAGGTGATCGATGGTCACTGCTTATTTGCACTGTTTGTCAGGTTTACTTGTTGATCTGGCTTAGGAATCAAGAAAACAGAAATTTCACAAGAATAGCACCTTTACAGTTTTATACTTCCATAAAGCACTTTGTTAAAGAAGTACAGCAAATTTCTTTGTATTTTAATATATAAACTGCTTCATAGCAATGGTAATTTTATATTCATGTTTTCTAAAAGATAAAATCATTACTCAACTTTCATGTAAATGGAATAAATCACTAATGAATCAATACTAATAAGTGTCTAGGAAATCATTAACTTGCTTAAATATAGGGCTAATGTAACTATAAATACTGTATTGTTAAATTCATTTTAAACAGGGTTTAATGAGACAATTTTTAAGCACTTCTGAATAATTTACACTGTAAATGTATTAATGTTAAGAAAACACGAACTGCTACTGATAAAGGTTTGATTGGTGATAAGCATAAAAAGAGAAAACTATTTTGTACAGGAAGTAAAGATGTCTCCCAAGGGTGATGTAAGAAAGTACTCCTAGGCTCTGGAGAAAATAGGCATCAAGTGAAAATTCACACCTCTGTAAAAATAAGGTCCTCCTTGGAATGTTGGAGTATTAGACAGTCCATTGAACACTGAAGTATTAGACAGGACCCATTGCTTAGAGTTTATTGTCTATAATAGAGCTTTAGGCTATTCCGTTTACATGTACAGTATCAATATGTAAATACTTTACAGGGAAGGTCGTACAACTTCCTAGTTGCTCTTTGTAACTGATCATTCTATCTCTGAAACAGTAAGCCATAATAAGCACTTTTGTTAAAACTATCAAATAATCCTTTTATGTTGTTCTCAGATCTGCTCCCTAGACATGAAATGTGTTACAAGGTGAAAATTTTAAATAATGTTTGTGTTAAAATAAACAATTTAAACAGATGTACTGTGTTTGTTCTTTTTTGTTTTTGTATTCCTGGGGATGGAACCCAGGGCTTTGCACACGCTAGGCAAGCACTCTACCACTGAGCATACGGCCTCAGCCCCAGGGTACTGTTTGATTTGGTTTTAATTCCTATCTTCAAAAGATAAATTTATTTTTGGTCTTTTTGAGATAGGGTCTCCGTGAAGCCACAGCTGGCCTGGAACTCACTATGTAGACCAGGCTGGCCTTGAACTCACAGAGATCCCCCTGCCTCTACCTCCCAAGTGCTGGGATTAAAGGCGTGCACCACCACGCCCGGCTAAGAGATAATTTTTAACAATGAAAATTTAAGGAAAGATAACAAGGAGTGGAGGAGAAATGAGCCCAAATCAATCTTTCTGGTGGCTGTTGGTTCAGATTTGCCATATAGATAATTTAAAAATCAAAACCGAAAATGGTGGCTTGCCTCTCTCGTCTTTCATATGTCCCCAAAGTAGTCAACCAACAAGAGGTCGATTGCCTGACTACATAACAGAAGAATGGAGAAGCCTGATGTTCCTCCCTGGAAGTTCTCACATCTAGGCAGGAAGAGGCAGCTAGCTGGAATTCAATATTAGTTTAATATTAATCCCTGCTAAGCAAATTAATCAATAGGTTTCTTCCTAATCTGGCTAGTTTGGTACTTATTGTAACACATCATGAAAAAATAACCCAAACCCTTTTCTTCATCATCTTAGACACGGATAACATTTTATTC